TTTGTAAATGTGATATTCTTGATAGGTTCTGTGTATGCGTACATGACTGATGTGGAACCTCTCCACTTTGAAGTAATTATTTGTAAATGTGATATATAAAAAATTATTGCCAGTAATATCTGAGAACTAGACATCAAGCAATTTTAGGAGTGGCTGTGTATTTATTTATTACTTTATAATATATAATCTTATTGGAGGAAACTAAGGGCTTTTGGTTTATAATAATCTCTTACAAAAAAAAAAGGAACCTATGGGTTTGTTACTTACTGCATTTTACTTTGTTCTCCAGAAGTATACATAGGTTGGTTTATTGATTATAAGCCCCCAAAGCTCATTCTTTTTTTTTAAATAAAAAAGGAATATAATATAAATACTGATTGAACAAATATTTCTCGAGCTTCTCTCTTCCTCCTCCGATATACCAGACCCTCTTAGATGCTAAAGATACAGCGTTAAACAATAGAGATAGATGTCTGCTTGTGGAGCTTATATTTTAGTGGAAGGAAAGAGACATGGTAAATGTAGAGTTAGATGGTACTAATAATGCTGTGGGGAAAGGAGGGATGGAAGATAGCTATCCTGGTGGGTCAGGAAAGGATTTACAGAAAGGCAAAGTGACTCCCACAGCTATGTGGACCAAGAACAATTTATGTAAAGGGAATAACAGGTATAGAAGCTGGGAGGCCAGAGCAGTGTAGTGAGAGGAGCAGACAGGAGTGAGAGGACCCTTTTTGCCAAGGCTATCAAAGAAATAATGGGAGACTGGGGGTGGGGTGAGTAGCAGTAGCCACAAAAGGCTTTGGAGGCCGCTATAATAACATAGAGGTCTGGTAGTGTAGTGGTTACAAATCGGGCTGCGACCCTCAGGGTCAGCAGTTCGAAACTACCAGCTGTTCCGTGGGAGAAAGATGAGCCGTTCTGCTCCTATAGTGATTTACAGCCTCGGAAACCCTGTACAGGGTCACTATGAGTCAGAACCGACTCCATGGCACATAACAACAACAACAAATAATAACTGAGTCAGGAAGTCTTAGGAAGGATTTAAGCAGACAAGTGCCATGATCTGACTTTTAACCTGTACCATTGTGGCTGATGTATTGAAAATGAACTAAGGGAAGATCAGAGAGGAGGAAGTAGAGAAAGCTGTTGCAGTCCTTCAAGCAAGAGATGATAGTTACTGGGAACAGGATGGTAGGATTGGAAGTCTTCAGAAGTGGGCAGATTATGGATCTATTTTGAAGATGCAGTCAACAGGATTTGCTAATGGATTGGCTGTGAGATAAAAGAGAACTAGAGAAATCAAGGATGAAACTGCAAGGTTTTTGCCCTCAACAGTTGGTAGGAGGGAGTTACCCCTAGAAATGAGGACTGTTGTAAAAGAACAGGTGTTATGGGGAGGGAAGATGATGATGCTTTAGCATTGTCTGAGATCACCAAGATGTCCTAAGTGTAGAAAAACAAGGTAGAGAACCAAAGTTGCACAGGGCACTTTAACTTTTGACCAGTAAAGTAGGAAAACTGAGTGTAGTGAATTAGAAACCAATAAAAATAAGTGTGATAATCAAGCAAAGTAACTGTTTTCAGGAGGAGGAAATGAGCTACCTGCCAATTACCTCACAAGGATGAAATCAGGTAGACTGTTGTAGCAAAGCTAAGGCCGCTGATGACCTTGGAATGAATAGTTTTAATGGAGCGGCAAGGTGAAAGTTTGGAGTAAACTCAAGGGAGTCTCGCTATAATGGGGGCAGAAAAATGGGAGATTATTGATAAGTGATTTAATTTGACCACTGAATTAACTAACTTGACCAAAGATAGAAAACCACAATTAATTATTCAGACTTTTTTTTTAAGCTTTTATTGTGCACTATGTGATAGTTTACATGGGAAAACACCAGTTTAGCATTCATCCTATTGTATTTCGTTTCATTGTAATGATTACAATCACTGCCATACATCATCAAATAACCACAGGGTACACCCTGCAAGCCTGCCCACCCCCCCGACTGTCAGCACACAGCCCCTCTCCCTCCCTGAGTACAGAGTCCCCAGCTGCTCCATCTCTCCAAGTCATTGTCTCTACCACCATCTCTGGTGTCACTGTTTCTCTGGATAGGGTCCCACACTCCTCTCTTCTCCCTTGATGGTCCCAGGGACGTCTGCTCCTAGGCTGCAAAATCAATCACTCCCCTCCTTTTGTTACAAAACATCTACCTGTACATTTCTGACCCTCATAGTCAGTCCTGATAGCAGTTATTCACTATTGTACCACAAGTGTCTTATCCCCCATCTCCTTTCATTAGCCCTGTCCCAACAGATTGGAAACCACTCAGTGGAGATTCTGCCTTCCCCCACACCCTCTGGTTCTAGGCTCCCTCTTGAAAGCTTGTAAGCCAGTCACTTCTTGCCTTTGTAGGCCCTCCCCACCCCCATTTTGGGTAGCCAGTGTCAGACTTATTTTTGAGTCTAGATTGTTAAATTGCTTCTGTCTGAGTGGTAAATGTCATACTGTTAGAATGCTTGGCATTATTGAAACCCAACAGTTAGTACTTTTTCTGTACAGTGCACCTATGTGTGTCTGTGTATATAAACACACCCCACTCACTTATCTACATGACTAGGTTTTAAAGATCAAGACGCTAAATGAAAATGGAGAATGATCACATTAGATCACAAAGTGGAGGATGACTATATCGTTATGTAATTGCCAAGTTACATTATTACAAAACTGCCAAATCACTGATAATCATGGATCAGCAAATTTGACAAAAATACCTTCGCCGTCGCTGTTGTCATTCCTCTTGTCATCCTTGATGTTTGTTACACTTGGCATTCATTACTTCCAGATACACATCATTAACGTGCAGAATAGTCAGACATTTTTTAATAATGTAAATAAGAAATGTCAGATAAGGAGATAGTTGATAAAGTAAGGTGTAGTATGTATCTCATAATAGTTACTATTTTTAACTTATATAACAATGCTGCATAAATTAAGGTAAAGCTTGTAGGAATTTGTAACAATATTCTGAAAAAAACAAACTACCAAGTACAATTAATGAGTAAGACTAGTAAAATGAAAGTAACTATCATGAGTAAAACAACTAACTTTACAAATGTACTTATGGAATTGTAAAGCAACTTTATAGTAATTTTGAGTTGATTTTTGGTTTTACACTGGTTAAAACTGAATAATTGTACTTTTTTTTTACCCTTTGACCTGCATTTTATACACCTTGCAAGATTATTTTTACACCATTGAATTAAGATTATGCAGATTTTGTTACTGAGAAGTTGTAGTTTTAGCACTGTAGATTGAGAACAAATCTGAAGTATTCAAATGTAAGGAAGTCCCTGTTGAATTGGGTTGTTTTTATTCCCACAGGCGTTGTCTGGTTTTAGACAGATGCATGTCATAGACATGGACATTATAGATGTTTCCAATCTAAACAGGCAGTTTTTATTTAGGTAAGTGGTAATTCCTTAACTTTTACAATTCTGATTTCTAGTTGAATTTAAATACATTGCAGTTTAATCAATTTTGTTTTTTATCACTAAGAATATAATACTGATTTTATTGAAAGAAAAAAAAAAAGCATTCCCTTTACTATTTTAGATTAAAACTTCAGGAAAATTTTAGGCGCTCCAAGTAGCTATACAGGGTGGTTATGGGTCAGAACCGACTCAACAGCACTTAACGACAACAACAAAGGAACTCTGGTAACGTAGTGGTTACGAATTGGGCACAGTGGTTACAGCCTCGGAAACCCTGTACAGGCTCGCTGTGAGTCAGAACCGACTCCACGGCACATAACAACAACAATGAAAGTAGTTTTTAAGCAAATTTATATTTTTTTGTTTTTTTTTAAAGATATCGCTGAAGTTTTATGTGAATTTGGAATATTCTCAGGGTAACTATGGGCTGAAGAAGTCATGTGAGCTCTTGTTGATTCCATAAGAGAACATTTGCTGAAAGATTAGGCCCCAGGGACACATCTTAGCGTAAGGACTTGTGAGCCAAAAACTGGATGGTGACTTTGGGGCAACAAAGTTGTGAAAGAATTTGGATGTTTTATAGGAGGATGAAAATGGAGAGTTAAGAAGGAAAAACATACGACCCAAAGACAATTTTGGTATGGTAGAAATAACTTGAAAACTGGAAATAAATCATAAATGTGGATCTGAGGAAAGACTTCCTAGGGAATTTTTAGTACATAGCATTTAGGGTTTTAAGTGGCTTAGATAAGGGTATGTTATAGAATATTGATACGGAGAGAGATGGACTTCTTTCCCCTCTCTCATGATTAGGCGAGAGTTCCGGTTTGGCACTGTAGGATTCACACAGGACTGATAACTGCAAGGTCGGTTCTTCAAACCTACCAGCTGCTCCTTGGAAACCCTATATAGGATGGCTAAGAACAGCAAAAATGACTAGGGTGCTGACAAAAGTTAATTGGCCTCGCTTTGCAGGATAAAATTGGACTAGTAGAAAAAGAAGATAGCTTTAAAATTTTGAGTAGAGAAAGCATCTCCTTTTATCTTTGTGGAAGGTATTAAAAAGACTGAAGAGTGGGTTAGAGCATGTTAATGAAGAATTATAAGTACACTATGAATTCAAGTTTATTTTTCTTTAAGGCTGCAGTTTTCCATTTATATAGAAAAGTTTGTGGGCCCTCTCTAGCCTGCAAGTGGTAGTGCATGAATACTCCATAAATGACACTGCTGAATTACTTAGTTAGTGTTAATAGGCCATGCTCTGGAACTGAGCTGAGTTTGTGATGACTGTAATAATTGATAACATTTATTGAGTCCTTATCATTTATCAGGCATTTTTTTTTAGATCTTTACACATATTACTCCATTTAATCTTCAGAACAGCCTTAAGAGTACTTTCTTGATTACGTTGTTATTAAGTGCCATCGAGTTGGTTCGGACTCATAGCAACCCTCTACAGGGTTTCCAAGGAATGGCAGGTGAACTTGAACCGCCGAACTTGCTCTTCAAACCAACCTTGCATTGCAGCACATTATCCTGCAGCGCCACACCAGGAATCTTGATGATAAGAGTAAGTAATTTGGTCAGGTGTACCACAGGATGATGTGTGAGAAAGGCCGTTTTATTCAGATGGTGGTTTTTGGTGTATCAGTCTCTTTATCCCCTAATACTGGAATATCAATTAGCTAAAGAAGTCAGAGAAACCATGATTAAGGGCTGCTATAAAAGCACATAAAATCTAAACTAAAAGAATATTGGAAATAGTTTATTCATTGTCTTTTCATGTCTTTAGAGCTCTCTTATGTCCAAAGAATGTTAGAAATACAATTCCCTGACTTAAAGCGGGACCTTTTCTATTGTATGATAAGACAAAGTCAGAATAAAACTCCGTCAGAAGTTTCAATCAGAAGATAACATTGCTTTATTGGAGAAAAGCAGAATTAACGAGCTAGAATTTTTCTTTGAAGTTGTAGTTCTAAATAAAGTAAAAATTTCTAACAAGCCTGTTTGATATTTCCCTTTACTTTGAAGTGTTTACACATGAAGGAACACAAAGACCGGAAGAATGCGTTGTTTTTCTCCCAGGTGTTCATAGTCCCAGTGGAGGTGCTAGAGATGTCAATAAGACAAATGTGTAGCAAGAAGTAGTAATGACCCATTTGCTATGGATAATATAAGAGAGTGCTTTATTATTTCTGTGTTGCCAATGAGGAAAATATTGGGGAAGAAAAGAAACTTTGTACCAAGATTGGGAGAAGGCAGTGCTATCTGTGCTTATTATCTAGAAATGACTGTTTGATGCTTTATGTTTATGGCTTTTTGGAAAACTGGCATATTTGCGACTTTCTGTAATGTCTTCGGAAATGTTCTTTCTTGAAAAGCATAGGTGTTAGGACTTTATCAGGGACACAAAATTTACTACTTAATGAGCACATCCTGGAAGAAGGGGAGTAAATGAAGATTCTTGTATCCCTAAAATGAGCTTTACCAATTTATTTCTGTCACAATCTGCATATAGCACATTGATGTGCTGAAGTTCATTGAGAATGACAGGCAAGGTGTGTGTGTTCTGTGTCACATTTCCAGAAGGTCTTTACGATGAGTTAGGGTCATTTTTTACTTTGGAATACGTCACTGGGAAGTGGCCAGGAGACATACTATCATTCTTCTTTATTAGGGAAAGGAGCTCTGGTAGCGTCGTGATTACGAATCAGGCTGCTAATCTCACGGTCAGCAGCTTGAAACTACCAGCTGCTCCACGGGAGAAAGGTGAGGCTTTCTGCTCCCATAAAGATTTACAGCCTTGGAAACCCTGTATAGAGTCACTATGAGTCAGAACCCACTCCATGACACACTACCACCAACAACCACCAGGGGAAAAAAGGAAAAAGCACTATTCATATTTTTATTTTAAAAATATTTGATTAGACTTTATCATGTTGATAGTTGATTTGGATCATCAACAAATGTTAATATTCAGGTTGGCTGAATAATTATTAAAATTCACTTACTGGTATTGTCAGAGTAAAAGCTAAAATAGTCATTAAAGAAGGAGGCAGAGAGAGAGAGATAGAACAAGATCAGGTTATTGGATAAACCTGGGAGGGGCCCCTGACCTGAGTCAAAGGCACTCTTCCCATCCAGCCTAGGTGCTTTTATCCTGTAAAGTGGGTAATGGGGGGTGGGGGGTGGGGTGAAACGTGGTCGGCTTGCCTAGGTTCCCGAGCAGTGGTGAGTGGGTGGATAAGGTGATTCCTTTCTTTTCGGGGAATATGAAACTTAACAGCTAAAAGAAATGTAAACGCATGTTACAACAGCCTAGTAGTTTGACAATTGTAAAATTATGTTATAACAGTCCGATGCTGTCTCTCAGGTATAAAAACACTGAGGTAAAAGTATTCTTTCTAAACGTCCTGTGAATAAACTCACTGTGGGTTGGTTTTTATGTTGGAAAGTGAATTATGTAGATCATCTAGAGCTATAATATGGATGATAATTCAAATGTAATTCTTCCTGTAGGCCGAAAGATGTTGGAAGACCTAAGGCTGAAGTTGCTGCAGAATTTCTAAATGACAGAATTCCGAATTGCAATGTAGTTCCGTATCCTTTGAACTGAAAAATTGCTTGGTATCTAAAAGCTTGTTATTTTTTGGCAAAATAGATGTAACAGTAAGCCCACGACTGAGATAACTGCTGATACCATTTTGGTTTATAGCTTAGCAATCCTTTCTTTATGTTAACTTTTTTTTTTTGCCCTGATAAAAAATTTAGCCTCTGTAGCCTATGCCATTGTCCACTTTTATTCTGAGTTATTGCTTTTAATTTTAGTATCAATTGCATATTTTCTCTATTAAACTGTAAGTTCCTAGCTTAGGCCAAATGATATTCGTGTTCCCTTACAGTAGCAGACAGACTAGATAGACAGCCAGTGTGTCATTATTCAAATGAAATGTAAGAGTAAATTTTGTTTCTTTCTGTAAGAAATAAGCTTTAAAAAAGTGTTCTCACATATTTAGTTCTAGCAAAGTTTGGATATTTTAAAGAAATCAAGGAGGTGGGATTTCTATATAAAAAATTTCAAAGAATCTGCAAAGAAATGCCTAGGACTACTGGGTGAGTTCTGCAAGCTGTAGGATGAAAGACAGCAACACTCGTAATTCTGTGTACTATGAAGTCCTGGTGTGGCGCTGTGGGTTAATGTGCTGGGCTGCCTGGTCGGTGTGAACCACAAGATCAGGGGTTCAAGCTCACCAGCCACTCCTCAGAAACCCTATATACGGGGTCGTTACAAGTTGGAACCGACTCGATGGCACTTAACAACAGAATCAATGAACTTGGTGGGAACCAAAATTAAAATTAGAAAAATACAATGTCATTTACAATCACTAAAAAGAAAGAAATCATTGATATAAATCTAACAAAATATGTACAAGAGTTGTATGTCAAAAGCTATAAAATACTGTGGAAAGAAAGAATATTTAAATCAATGAAGAGATAGTTCATGTTCATGGATTAGAAAGATTTAACGTGAAGATGTCACTTCTTAATTGCTATCTAAGTTTAACACCATTGCTGTCAAAATCCCAACACAATTTTTTTGTGAGATGGACAAGATTCTGAAATTTATATGGAAAGGCAGAGGACTACTGAGAGCAGTTGTGAAAAAGAAGACCAAAGTAGGACTTAGTCTACCAAATTTTAAAACTTACTATATATTTATAGTGATCAAGGAGAGAAAGATGATAAAGATTTACAGCCTAGGAAACTGTGTGCAGGGGAGCAATGAATTGGAACCAACTTAATGGCATTTAACAACAATAGTAACCAAGAGTGTATGGTATTAGCAGAGGGATGGATGCAGATTAATAGGACACAGGACAGATAGACCCAACACGAGTTTGGCCAGTTAATATCAAAAGTTGTTAGAGCAATCAGATACCCAGAAGAACAAAAATGAACTTTGACCTGACATACACTTTATACTAAATGAAGTCAAAATTAACCATAGATTTAAATCTAAAATGTTAAATTACAAAACTTATAGCAGCAACTTTCAGGACCTATAACCTGGCAAGCATAAGCACTGGAGTGCTAACCGCAAGTTTGGCAGTTCAACCCTACTCCTGCTATCCAGAGTCACTAGGATTCGGAACCGATTCGATGGCACTTATGAACAACAACAGCAGACACTATAATGTGTTTATTTACTTCATTAAGTTTTTATTGCGTATTTGCTTACTATTAATGATTGCAGGTCTTAGTGAGTATATAAAAATAGTTAAAGCAAATTATAGAGTATATCTCCTAACAGACTTAAATAATAACATGGGAAGGGAGTCTTAGGAGAGTTTTAGAAAATAAGGTTGTAGGAAATAAGGTTGTGTTCATTTTGTCAGATACCTTGAATTTCATTGCTTTGAATACTCAGGACATTTCTTGTTTTGAATGTGCATTTATAGTTTCTTCTGTATAGAATTGTTAAATTTGTTTCAGAAAATCAAAACTTCAATGGCTTAGTTCCTTTACTTGCATTCAGACATTTCAACAAAATTCAGGATTTTAACGACACTTTCTATCGACGTAAGTTGTCCATTAGAAATTAATTCGCACTGAATTCTTCCTAATAATTCAGTTATCATTTCCCCCAAAGGTTGTTAACTATTTCAGGGTTATTTCTTCAGTTAACTAGATTTTCTGTGCTTTCAAGGATTAGGAAATCTGTATGTTGTGTGTATTATAATAACATTTTTTCTTCCCAACCCTTGGAAAGTGTGAGTTAATTTATACATCTGCAATTTTTCTTTACACTGTATTCTTTTTTTCCCATAGAATTTCATATTATTGTATGTGGACTGGACTCTATTGTTGCCAGAAGATGGATAAATGGAATGCTGGTAAATACAGACTTTCCCATTGCTGTGACCTTCTGACGTTCTTGACACACTGAAAGTTATAATCACATACCATGTCTTGTAAACACCAGAGTTTACTTCATTTTGAATTTGTTGGTTTTCAGTTGAGGCTATAAATTGTTAAAACCCTAACCCACCGACAGTGATGGAGTAGTACTAAGGCAAGCTCTCCTTGGGGAATTACTCTGGGTTTGCTGCTTTGGAATCTTATCTTCCCCTTTTAAACCCTCTGTCTCGTTTTCCTAGATATCTCTTCTCAATTATGAAGATGGTGTGTTAGATCCAAGCTCCATTGTCCCTTTGATAGATGGGGGAACCGAAGGTTTTAAAGGAAACGCCAGGGTCATTCTACCTGGGATGACTGCTTGTATTGAGTGCACACTGGAGCTCTATCCTCCTCAGGTAATCACAGAAGGGCCTGAAAGAAGATAAAATACGCAATTCTGCACTATTCGTGAAAAAATAGGAACTAAATGTAATTCTAATACTATTTTGATTTTGTAATTCATTTTTTATTTTTTTATTTGTGGAGTAGGGTCAAAGGGGATTATAAAGCCGTTTTGAAATAGAGCTATAATCTACCTTCTTTGCTTTCCTTCTGTATTGTTTCAGAGAAGTTAAGATGCCAGGTAAGGCATTGACCTTTCTGAAGATGGGGTGTTTAATCTAGAGTTACTTAAAGGATATTTGGAATTATGAGTTATAAACAATTTTTAGGAGTATTTACTTGGAATTGATTTAACTCTAAATTTTTTTAAATTTTGTATTTATCCCTTCAGATCCAGAGTTAGGTAAACATAGCAACATGTGCATATTTAAGAATCTGTTGAGCAGTTTTCTCTTCATGGTCTATGTATTAAAGGTCCCCTTTATGTACAGATGTAGAAGTATCTCATATAGTATAAAAGGCTTCTATAAACGGAAGGTTAAGCTGAATTACAAGAAGCTGATACAAACTAGGTAATAAATAGAAGTTGCATTTTAAAATAACTTATCACTGAAAATTACTAAAACAGGCAAACTGTGGTTTTAGGTTAATTTTCCCATGTGTACCATCGCGTCTATGCCCAGGCTACCAGAACATTGTATTGAGTATGTAAGAGTTTTGCAGTGGCCCAAGGAGCAGCCTTTTGGAGGTAATAAACCTAATTTAATAATCTAGAGTTACATAACCGATTTATTTGTTAATACTGTTCATTTGGTTAATTATATTACATAAATTACTTGATTATTATATTTCCATCTCCCTCCTCTGTTTCTTTCTTCCTTTCTTTTTTTTAAACAGAAGGAATTCCATTAGATGGAGATGATCCTGACCATATTCAGTGGATTTTCCAGAAATCCCTAGAGAGAGCATCGCAGTATGACATTAGGGGTGTCACATATCGACTCACTCAAGGTAAGGGAGTAAATTATCATGAATTAACATCTCTGAATTAATAGTTTTTTAAAGGGTTGGGGAAGATTGTGGGCGAAATGACAGGTGACTTTAGGTAGTACCATGCAGTTGAGGTTCAGTAACAGTAAAATAAATATAGTTTATAGCTGCTACAAAGTAAAGGGAGCCAAATTCAGAATCCATATAGTGTATCTTTTACTGAAGAGAAATTTTGTCACTTCTTAAGGCAGTCTATTTAACATTTGGACAGACTGACAGATGATTGTACATACTGAGCAGAGATTTCCATCCTTAATTCAGTTTGAGCCCTGGTGTGGCGCTATGGGTTAATGTGCCAGACTGCAAAGCCATTTGAATTGCAAGGTTAGCGGTTCAAGCTCACCAGCTGCTCCTCGGAAACCATATACAGGGTCGCTATGGGTTGGAACCGACTCAACAGCACTTAACAACAACATTGTCACCGGGTATCATCTAACATGTAATTCTCTGTTCAAGTAATAGATCTGAACAAATTGAGGACAGTAAACGTGTCTTAGTTCCTTGAATCCTTGGTCACATTGCTTGGTTTCAATCCCCTATCCTGACGTTTTGCTCTAACCATTATTCAGCGTAATTTTTGGTATTCCTGTTACTCTTAGCTATATTAATTGTAATGCAGCATTTTAGGGTTGCTCTTAAATCTAAACAATAGATTTCTGATTGTTGATACAGTCTTAAGAGTGGGGCCTGTTGCGTACATCGGTGATAACATGTTTGATTCTTTGAATTAACCAGAAGTTTTCTCCACATAAGCATTTGCTAAGCCGGATCTCTCCATGGCAGATTTGATAGGTGCTTACAAATTCATTCTTTTTCTCTTTTTAGACTTTTTATTCTGACTTGAGTGAAGGCTTGCCGAGCAGACTGTCAGTGTCGAGACTTCATGTCGCTGGCTGCACTTCCCTCAATACAACATCACTTATCCCACTTCCTCCCTGCTTTTCTTGTTTCCGGTCCTCCTCTCCTCACCCTTCGGAATTTTGTCCTTAGCTCAATCCTGCCCTTTGGATCACATTTGGTTGACTACCTTTTGGTGTGCGTACCTCACTCGTGTTGTTCCCCATGTCTCAGGGAATCGTCATAATAATGTCCCGTCTTAGTTGTGACCACTGCTTCCTACTCCAAATAGCTGCAGTTCATCCTTTCTAGATTTGTGTCCAATTTCATCACCAAGTTCTCCAGAAAAAAAAGGGCCTTTTTTTAAATGTTTTATTGTGAATTATGTGATACCTTACATGGGAGAGCATTAGCTTTACATTGATCCTATCGTATATTGTTTCATTGTCATGGTTATTACAATCCCCTTCATGCATCATCAACCAACCACAGGGTATATACCCTGAAAGCCTGACCCTCGGTAATTAGCACACAGCCCTTCTCCCTCTCTGGATCTAAAGTCCACAGCCACTCCATCTCTCCACGTCATCATCTGTGCCTCCATTTCTGCCATCACTGTTTCTTTGGGTAGGGTCCCGCGCTCCACTCTTCTCCCTTAATGGTTCCAGGGACCTCTGCTCCTAGACTGCAAAGTTAATCACTCCCCTCCTTACTGCAAAACATCTACCTTTACATTTCCAACTCTCACAATCAGTCTTGATAACAATTATTCACTATTGTATCACAAGAGACCTATCCACATTTCCTTTCATCAGCTCCGCCTAGACAGATTGGATACTACTCAGTGGAGATTCTACCTTCCCCATGCCCTCTGGATCTAGATTCCCTCTTAAAAGCTTGTAAGCTAGTCATTTCTTGTCTTTGAAGCCTCCTCCCCCCGCCTCCATTTTGGCTATCCAATGTCCAAGCTGCCCATCCCTGTCTACTCTGTGCATGGAGGGGTTGGGAATGATGAGCCTTGCTGTAAAGATTTGTTCCCTCTTTTGAACTACTGCATCCATAGGTGTAGGTCAAGTTCATCAATTTGTATCAGAGTACTCTATTTTTTCTCTTCTTTTTTCTTCTAGTTGAGCTCTGATCATCCATTCATTGAAGCCAGGTCAAGTGGGTATTATCTGCAAGTGTGGGTATTCTTATGCATATGCCCTCTCTTCTTATCAGCTGGATGCTTCACTCTCCACTCTAGTCCTCTGTGGCTATGCCACTGTCTCTAGGCCCAAGAGTACCCAGGTCTTGCCACACATCTGGCCGACCAGGTCTCCACCCGGGTTCACAGGACTCTGTTGAACGTTGTAGGGCTTAGCTTGTAGCTTCATTGGTGTTTTTCCCTCACTTCCCCTTATCAGTGACGAACTGCTTTCTTTTTAAACCTCCTTTGTGAGTCTTCTATTTTCTGATGTTTTATTGATGTCACATGAAATCTACATATGTTCACACTCCTTGCTGATCCCCCATACTCCTCCACGCTGACTTGCGTTCATTGGAGACACCAAGCTAATTCTCACTTTACAGCTTTAGCTATGTCTAGGATTCTCTTTCCTCTTATTTCCCGAAGGCTGTCTCCTTATCCCTCAGGTAACCGCTTAAACAATTTTCCTGGTTTTCCGATCTAAAATCCATTCACTGTTGTTGTTAGGTGCTGGCAAGTTGATTCCACCTCCTAGCGACCGTATGCACAATGAGCAAAAGCCTGCTTAGCCCTGTGCTGCCTTCATGAATGTCTCCATTGAGCCCAGTATTGCAGCCCCTGGGTCATTCCTGCTGGTTCGGGATCTTCCTCTTTTTCACTGAACCATGGTGTCCCTTTCCAGGACCTGGTCCCTACTGACCACATGTCCAACATATATAAGGCAAGGTCTCAAAAGCCTTACCACTCTCACTTTCAAGGAGCGTTCTGACTGCACTTGGCCCGAAACAGATTTGTTTGTTCTTTTGACAGTCCATGGTACTTTCAGTATTCTTCACCGACCAGAATTCAAATGTATCGAGTCTTATTTATTATCCAGCTTTCACATACATGTTGTTGTTCTTGTGTGTTTCATTGAGTTGGTTCGACTCTCAGTGACCCTGTATAGGGTTTACGAGGAGTAACTAGTGGGTTTGAGCCATCAATCTTGTGATTTGTAGTCCATTGCTTACCTTACAGTGCTGTGTTGTTGTTGGTGCCACCGAGGCAGTACCGACCCATAGCGACCTTATGCACAGCAGAAGGAAACACTGCCCGATCCTGGGCCATCCTCACTACTGTTGCCGCGCTTGAGTCTAACGGTGCTGCCCTTGGCCAATCCATCTCACTGGGGGTCTTCCTCTTTTTCTCTGACCCTCCACCTAACCAAACATGAGATCCTTCTCCAGCAACTGGTCCCTCTTGACGATATGTCTGAAGTATGAGAGACAAGATTGCTATGTTAGGATTTATATTTGTTGTTGTTAAACCCTGTTGAGTCACTTCCTCCTCATTGCAACCCAGTATAGAGTTTCTAAGGATTCATATTAGAAAACTGAAAAGGCCATGGTAGGCTAGGCATACCTCAGTACTCAGACTACATCTTTGCAGTATAATACTTTGAAAAGATCTTGTGCATCAGACTTTCCTAATACAAGATGTCGTTTGATTTCTGGACTGCTGCTTCCATAAGTGTTGATAGTGGGCCCAAGTAAAATGAATTCTCCTACTATTTCAATCTTTTTCCCATGTATCATGGTATTATTGGCCAGTTGTGAGGATTATCGTTTTATTTACATTGACGTGCAATCCATACTGAATGCTGGAGACTTTGATCTTCATCAGTAAGTACTTAAGTCCATCTCCTCCAGAAAGATTATGTCATGTCCATATCACAGGTTGTTAATGAGTCTTCCTTCAGTACTGATGCTGTGTTCTTCATACAATCCAGCCTCTGATTATTTGCTTAGCATACAGATTGAATAAGTATGATGAGTTAATACAACCCTGGAGCATACCTTTCCTGAGTTTAAAACATTCAGTACCACCTCGTTTTTTTGTATTTTTTTGCACATACTAACTTGCTTTTATTAATCCAGAATGGCATTCTACAGATACTGTACAGTGTGAATGTTTATTCATTGCAAAAATGGTTTTCAAACCATTAAAAAAAAAGTTGGAATAAGAGCATAAAACAGAACAGTAATGTCACGACTATTAGGAAACATTCAAAGTATTCACACAAAAATGTTATAGTTACCATCTTAATAAACCAGAGAAAAATCAGAGACAGTTTTACAGTCACTTCATGTCAACTACAGTGGCACTGAATGAACAGGTTTCAGCTTTATACAGCATTTTGCCGCATCGGCATGGCTACGGTTTTGGTTTTTTATTTAAAGTTCACCACTCACTTGTATGTAGTAAGTGTACATAGAAGCAGCAGCTTGTTTTCCCTTTTAAGAGTAATATAATATACAGAATTTTGTCCCTGAAGTGTTTATACCTCTTCATTTAAAATGCTTTCTGGGCCATCAGCTACCAAGCACATCTTGTTATAGGTGACATTCAAACTACATGCAGATCTACCTACGTAATATCACAGCAAAACAGCATGAATAAAACTACAGCATCAGAAAGAGGGAGAAAGCTATCATCACTGAGAAAGTTGGCACATAACATTTTGCACACGGTCAGTCTATTTCCAAATGGTGCAGTTCGAAGGGAGACCCAGGAATAGTCCCACTGTTTCTCAGACAGCGTCGCCAAAATTCCCTCACTGATTTTGAAGTCTTATTATACATAATGGCTTTTAAAGCAACTTTAGATAATGCTACTGATCCTTTAATGGCAATTGTGAATGTCCTTTTCGTGGCATCTGGGTTTCATACAGCAAAGAAAAAAAAAAGGGAAACAAAAATATATATATATACACATTTTATATATAAACTTAAAAACTTACAAACCTTGTACAAATGAGTCATAATATATAAGATGCATATGCTAAGGGAAGGGGGCAAAAAACTTTATAAACAGTTTCAAGAAAAAGGAAAACATATTTAAAACGGAAATACTGTATAGCTACGACAAGCAGTCTCTAAAGCCATAAACACTACTG